GAGCCGTCTCTGTGCTGTGGTTCACCCTAAATCCAGACTGGAATATCTCCAGGATCTGTCTATCATTGAGAAAATCAGTAATCTGAGTAAAAACAAGTTTTTCTAAGACTTTACTTAAAAATGGTGAGTTGGATACAGGTCTGTAGTTATTAAAATCATTACAATCCAAACTGCTCTTCTTCAGAAGGCTTGTACTTTTATATCTGGTTATAAAGTCTTCTTGATCATTTAGAGAATAATGTGCCATGGGAGAGCAGACAGTGTTCGTCTTTGTTTCCTACTGAGTTTCCTACCGGTCAAAAGTTTCAGAACACCCCATTTTTTCCAGTTTTTTATTGAAAATTATGCAGTTTAATGTCTCATTGGACTCCTAAATGAAAGCACAGTACAAATAAGCAATTGGAGTTAAAAAAGAAATCATCGAATGTATACTAAACTTTTGACTCATCAATGTAGACACCTTTGGCAGCTATAACAGCTGAACACACCTGTGGCGTTCTTTCTAAAGTAGAAATCAAATATTCTTCAGAACGTTCTTCCCATGTCTGTTGCAGAACTTCCCATAAATGTGGACCTTGTAGCTGCTTTGCTTTCACTCTTCTGTCCACTTCATTGCAAACCAGCTCGATGGGGTTTAAGTCTGGAGACTGTGCTGCCACTCCATGTTTTCAAGCTCACCATCTTGTTCTTTCTTCCTGAGGTAGTTCTGGCATAGCTTGGACTTGTGTTTTGGGTCTTCTTGCTGTAGACACACACCAGAGGGTCCTGCACGGTGCTGCAGAATGCTGTCGTAGCTGTTTTGGTTCAGGGTGCCTCTCACTCTGTACAAGTCACCGACCCTGGATCTAGCAAAACAGCCCCGGATGATGGTCTGTCTCTCTTCCATTGTTAATTGCCTTTTTCTCACCATTGTTTTAGCAACACGCTACTTTCTGCAGTACAATACTGTTCAACAGATGCTCACGAGGGTATGATACCACGGTGTGCTCCGAGCCAACACTGCTTTTATGCAGACAGAGGCGCTGTAAGTAATCCAGAAAAGTTGGAACACCTGTAGGAATTAGTAGTACAACAGCTTTCAGAGCTTCATCAACCTCCATTGCTGCAGAGCAGCTTTAAATAGTTAACCCAGGTTTTGTTCCCTGAAAAAGGCCTTTTTTTATAATTCTCAAATATACATTATATTCAGTTTAGGTTAACCTTAACTTCTTTTTTTCAAAGCTCTGGCAGTTCACCAGTTGCCTTTGTACCATTTCAAGCTATTCATTGGACTTGAATGACATGAATTGCAATTAAAAAAACTGGAAGAATTGGGGTGTTCTTAAAGCTTCTACTGGTAGTGTATTTTTCCAGATTTACATTAAACGGCTTTCACATTCACTGCTTCAGGCAGACCATTTTTAGCTGTGTTTCAAGTCTACCTGCTGACAATAGCCAAATATTACGATTTAGATTTGTTCATTATGGTTTATAAGTAGCACACAGACAAGTTCAGTTCAGTTTACCACCATTTGAGAAAACGTGCTTTGACTCAAATGTTATGCACTTATCTAAGATCGGTGGCTGGAAGGTGAAAGGTTGTTGATTTTAAAAAACTGTACAGTCTACAATAAACAAAAAAGAACACATTTAGAATAAAAGTACCACGAGCGCCTTGTAAGGACCATGCACTATGAGATACTGTAGGAACTTATACACTCATTAAAAATGAAGTTGGTTAAAAACAGTAAAAGCAAGACTTGCAGTGTTCAAGAGAGAAGTGCAAATGGCAGTAATAAATAATATGTAGACTATAAACATCAGACATGTTTGGGATCTTCTGCCTGAAAGGTGTGTTCACCTGTGAAAGAATGAAGAGTTGTTATATAGCTTTAACGAGAACGGTAAGAGTGAAGCGGTCTTTATGGTTGGATTAGTCTGAGGAGAAGGACCTGTGCTTATTCAGTAGTGTGGAGTGGAGCGGGTGTGTTGTCCGTGATAGAAAAGGCGTTTGTTCAGTGACCCCTGACCCTCACTGACAAATGCCTGTAAATTCTGACCACTGATGCTTCCAGCCTTGTGGATTCGTTTTTTGATCCTGCGGCATCTCTGGCACTGATGCTGCCCCCCAGCAGACAACAGCAGAGTAAACAGCACTTACTTGGTAGAAGATCTCCAACATGATGCTGGACACATTAAAGGATCTGAGTGTCCTCAGAAAGGCGTGTCTGCTCATCTCCTTCCTGTACACAGCATCCCTGTTGTCATTCAGGTAAAGTGGGCTTGACATACCTACTACAAAGACTAAATGTGCATACGTGTGCTGATTAAAAGACACACATTTACATATTATGGAAGCTGTGGAAGCTAAGAGCACTGTGTGAAGTTATGCTGCACTCACTGTGTCAGTGTGTATCATGCATGGGAAATGGAAACTGAATCATGAATCACGACCAAACGACTGCTGAGGTCTCCGATTTTCTAACATTAGTGTTCATACTTGTAAACTGAGACCTTTTTCAAACAACACTACTGTGCTCTTCTGTTTTTGAGAAAAAGAAAAGAAAGGTGACTTTGCATGGTAAAATACAGGCCTGTGCAATTGTGCTTTGCACCGTGTTTGTTAGTTGTAATGTCAGCTGCCTTGTTGTGGGCTGAGAGGAGATGTTGGTTAATGTTGGCAGTGCAGGCCCTGTGGTTAGCCCCTGAGCCACGCAGCGTTATGAAAATGAATGCTGCAGATGAGAGCCGGGAAACACTGAGAGGGTTTTATAAATGACTTGAGGACAGAGACACAAGTTAACATTCCTTTGCCAATTTGCACTTTCTTCCACAGTTGTAGATGCTGTGGAGGACGATCGGAGCAGTGTTGAGGCGACAGAGAGATTCCTGCCTAACGACTCTTGTCGCCGGCTCTCCTTACACTATTGCCAAACAGGCAGACACTGGTGTCATCAGGAGAGAGAGGCTGTGTAATTTGTGGTGCACCCAGAGACATTTTAATAAGCTGGAATTTATGAGACTCTGCAATACATTTTCAGTTATGTCATTTGCATATCTTTACTGCAGCTGTCACAGCAGTACTTGTGGCAGCATGCAGAAATACAGCAACACAATGCTTATTTGCTCCATAAAAATCAATTTAAGTAAATCAGCATGTACAGATGAGCTTTAAGGTGTAGATACCAAGCCAATCGTTTTCTTAAAAATGTCCACTTTTAATTTATCCAAAGTAATTTGATATTTTTAAAATAGACTCATTTTATATGTATAAAAACTGCACCAAACAAGTGGTACAACCATACTAACAAATGTCTGTGGAGGTTCTCAGTCAAAGCTCTTTAGACATACTAACAAAGGAACAATAATTACCCAAATGCCCTGCAGAGTTTGTAAGTTTGCTCACTTCCACAGAATGAAACAGGAATTTTCTATTGTAGTTTTATTGAGACAGAATATCAGCAAGAAATCCAGAAAAATACAAAAGTTATGAATTGATTTGCATGTCAGTGGGTAAAATAAATATTTCCCCTACAACCCAGCCAAACCTTAGGCTCTCACAGGTTGGCTGCCTATCACAGATTACAGTTAATCAATTACAGATACTCCTGATCTCAACTGTACCACCATCCACAAAATCAGTTTCTTCTATTTCAACCTCTACATCACTATGAGCAAGACCAAAGAGCTGTCAAAGGATGTCAGGGGTGAGACTGTAGATCTGCACAAAGCTGGGATGTGCTAAAAGACCAGCAGCAAAAAGCTTGGTGAGAAGTGCAACGAGCAACTGCTAGTTTGATTATTTGGAAAGTGAAGAAATACAAAAATAAACATCAATTGGCCTCAGCTTGTATGGGGTGAGGTAGGAAGTCATTGTGTTTTTGTTTGTTGGGATTGCCCACAGCAGTTCATCACCATATGATAACTGTTTTTATTATATAAATCATTCTGTTCAAGTCAAGTAGAAGGATCCTGGGAGAAAAAGTACATGATTTCAAATGGTTAAATAAATAAACAGTGTTTACCCAGAATGAGTGACAATGCTATCCTTGCTGCATTAGAGTCCAAACATCTCACTCTCCATGCTAAGACACCCCAGTTTTTGTGGGCTGTTCTTGGTCTGCAGTGGTCAGTATCTATCAAAATTGGTCCTTAATGGAGCAGTGGTGAACCAACAACAGCGTCATAGATGGAGTGAGGCCAAGAGTGAGGGTCAGTGTGGTCATATCCAACAGATGTGCTATTACAGCTCAAATTGCTGAAAACGTTCATGCTGGTTCTTGGTGAAAGGTGTCAGAATGCACAGTTTGTTTGATATGGCATTACATAGCTGCAGACGAGACAGAGTGCCCATGCTCACCTCTGTCCACCACTGAAAACACCAACAATTTGCAAGCGAGCATCAGAAGTGGACCGGGTGCATGAGTATCACTCACCTAGGGAACACCCAGCGTCAGGATGCACTATAGATAGAAGGCAAACCAGCGAAGGCAGTGTGGTGCTTTGGACAATCTCCTACTGGGAAACTTTGGGTCCTGCCCCACCTCCCAACTTATAGGACCTCAAGAGTATAAAACATCTAAAAAAGTGTCACCTTCTTATTCATCAATGACTGAAGAAAATAAAGACAACCCTAGATTTCTCTTCAGCATTGTAGCCCCACAAACTGTCGGAGCTCTGTTTACCCAACCATTCTTTTAACGCTCACTAGTAATGACTTCATGATTTTCTTCCCAAATACAATTTTAACTGTTAGAGAAAAAATTGCTCATAACTACTAACAGATGGAACATTACGTACAGCTGCTTTCAATATTATTGATATTTATTTAGTCTTTTTCTCCAATTGATCTTTCTGAGTTAACTTCAATAATTACTTCCTCCAA